TGTGTTGTGATTTCAAACTTACTTGTCCCATTTTGTAGAATCCATAACTTAAATTCACATAGAAGCGTCTAATTGTGGTAGTTATTAATTTGGTTCTAGGGTTAAAGGTTGCAGTAGAGTAGTAATGGATCGGCTCAGTGCTTCTGCACGTTCTATGATAGTTTCTGATCTTGATAATACAATGTTAGGTTTAATAAATTCTTGCTGCACTCCAGAATGATGTCGTGCTTGTATTGCTATTAGTTAGTTTAATTGGACATGGTGCTCTTTCTGCAGGTTGATCATCATGATGTTGAGAATGTATCCCTACTCTGCTCCTCCATATATCATGCCCAGGTGGAAATAAAAAGTCCCTGGTAAGTTTGGAGTGTTGGCTGATGGATTAACTTGAGTATAGGTATAGATAGAAGTATATAGCTTTTATTGTGTGAAAATTAGGAAAGCAAATTTATACTAAAATAATAAACTGATAAGTGAAGAAAACTTTTAGCTTAAATGCTTGACCAAAAATGTACTTTATGTAACTGTACCTGGAACCAGTACTAGGACTAAGTTACATTTTAGATCTACTTTGACTGGAACCTATTAACATTTTGCATCAACTTTTATTGATTTTCTTTATCTAATGAATCTACTAAGAAATATTGTTCCCACTTTTCATTTTTTGTTGTAGTACTTTATGATCTATGTTTAGAAAGAACCATCATTTTAATTCTTCTTTCTTTAGGGTCCATCTGCTGTAACTGTCCATGCATCTGGTGTTTAGAAAACTTTACATGAATGCATACATGAATTGAAAAGGTGGCATGGAGAAAAGCAGGGAAAAATGTTTTGGGTTTGGGGGGATCCTGTATTATCTACACAGAATGGTTCAAGCATCACATGGCAGGTGAATTGCAATAAGTGGGAGCCGTGTGGTGAGATTTCTTTATATGTTCTTCTATATCTGCTCAATCTTTGCATCTTTTCAATTTAAACTAAATGTCATATCTGTGCTAATTTATTTACCTTTCTTCCATTCATCTCTGTGGCAATGAATGTCTCTCCAACTTGGAAGACCAGTAATAGGAATTTGTTTGTGAACATAATTGCCTTTGAGCCCTTGATTTCCTTTTTAGTATATTTATATAGAGACCAATCCATGGGTGGTTCTTAATCTGATAGATGCTGCTTTAGAACAAAAGATTGTTTTAAACCTTGTCAATGACTTGGATGTCATAGCATTTCAAGAATACCAAGACTACAGTCCCAAGGGTTAACTTATCATCCAAATGCTTCATTTTACATATTTTCCCTTAAAAAAAAAAAAAAAAAATCAAATGTAGATATTAGCTATCACTCATAATATGTGTACACCAGAGACTAATTACAATGTAGCTCATACTTAGGGCT